GAGTTACAATGCTTATGTTAAAAAAGAAGAAAGAATGATGGGATGTGGTGGTATATACCTGTTCAGTGACTCAGGAGGCTGAGGCAAGAGGATTGAAAGTTTAAAGCCAGCCTCAGCACCCCCTGAGTACAATCCCTAGTACCCTTCCTCCTCTAAGAAAAAGAAAGAGAAGAAAGATTGCAAAAGTACTACCTAAACATCTTAAAAATCTAGAAAAATGAGCAAACTAAACTCAAAGCAAGCACAAGGAAGAAAATAATGGAGAGTACATATAAACAAAATAGAGAACCACAAAACCACAGTTGATTCTTTGAAAAGACCAGCAAAATTGATAAATATTTAGATAGACGACATATTCTCTCTTCAACTTGAACTAATCTTTCAGCCATTACCAGTACTCTCCTGAAACTGTACTTACCCAGTCCAAGGGCCACTGCTAATCTCAACTTCCTTGAATTCTTACTAGTGCTTGATATAAGTTCTCCCTCCTGTTTTGACTTGTGCCATTCTCCTGGTTTTCATTCCTCCATACCAATCCTTTTCCTTTGCTGTCCTCCTTCATTGCTCAAACTCTCATGTTGGAACTTAAAAGCTCAGTTTAGGATCCCAAGGCTTTTCATAGCATTTCTTTGCCAATAAACTCTTGAATTAGATCTCCATCCAATCCAGGGCCCTGAACTCTAGACTTACATCCAATTGTTGTTTGGTTATTTTTTTTAAATCAATATCAGCATTGGCTTTTCACTTTGTGTCAGTGACACTGCTGGTTTTGAGTGGCGCCATCTATCCAAGCTAAAAACCTAGGACCTACCTTTTCAAATTCAATTAATCAAGAACTGCAGTCCTTGACATTTCTGAAACAATTTCTGAAAGTGCCCACTTCTGTTTTTACCATTATCACCCTAAGGCAAGTTGCCACCCTCCTTTATCTTTACTGCTGTAAAAGCTTCCTATCTTAGATCCAGCAACTGGCTCTGTCAATTGTCATTGCACCTGCTAATTGGAGGAGTTGGAAAATTAAAAACATTTCCCAGATACTGTTACACATTGAGTCCTGGGCTGAAGTTAGATACTTCATATAAACATAAAGAGAAGCAAGACAGCGGCAACTGGCATGCAAGGTTGCAGAGTTATGAGTTTGGAGGCCCAGCATTCTGATGTGTGGCCACCTTTGTGACTGTGAGCAGCAGTGGCAATGTCCTTGATTCCACAGTCCAGCGGTAGTTCTCCTAACTATTACCCTCCCATTTTCTAAAAATCTTACCCCCTTGTTTACTCAACTCTGGAATACTTAACTGGTCTTCCTGTTGACTTTTAAGAATAAATGACCTTGCTTATCTGTGATCCATTCTCCACCTCATAAAGAATTACTTAAAAATGTAAATCGATCCTATAATCCCCTGCTCAAATCCTGTGGTGACTTCCCACCACACTTAGAATACAATGCTGAATTAGGAAAATGGGGGCTGGATATCCCAAGAATCAGAGGTTATATAAAAAATACTACAAATAGACAACAGACATAAATATCTACCAAATGCTATCTTAAATTTTGGTCCAAACTGAACATTTGGAAATAGATTTATTGTAAGTATTTAGAGCTTTTTCTTAAGTCTGAACTAAATTGTTTTTAAAGTCCTTTTTCTTTGTAAAGCATTGTAAATGCTAATAAATCCTGTTAATTATTTTTTTCTTTTTAACTGCATGTTACATTGAAATAAAAACAAAGTAAAATGAAAACAACAACAACAACAACAAAAAACACAATTCAAACACTTTACTGGGGTACCAGCCCTAATCATCTGGTTTTTGTGTCCTTTTTGACAGCATCCAGGCACTGGCTTCCCAATTCCTGGAATAGGTCAAGTTTTGCCCTAGATCTTTGCTGTACTATGTTCCATCTGCATGAAATGATTTCTCCTAGCTTCTTTGATATCTAGTCTTTCACATTCAGATGAAAGGTCATGTGTTTCAGCATTCCCTGGTAAAAAGTATAGCACTTGCTTGCATCTAGTTTTTTTGTTGTCATTATTGACTACCGTCCCTCTCCTTTAAAAATATATGTACTATGGCAGTGGGGAATATGACCCTTCACAGTAGATTTGGGGTTAATTTGTAAGGAGAGTGAATTTTACTTCTATTAGAGTTATTCCAAGAATATCAGCAAAATCTGTAAAATATTCCCAAATATTAGGTTGAGAATAATGCCATTTTGCCTTCAAGGCATGGGTGGTAGAATAGCAAATTGTTTTGGCACATTCTATATTCAACTTTTATACTTTGATAGGAATGAAAAAAAAAAAACAAAACTGAAAACAAGCCTTTTTAAAACACTACTGCTGGAAAAACTATTTACCCCAAATCACTGTTTTTAAAAATGCATTTTAGGGGATAAGGAGAGGAAGAATATTAGTGGGTGGATTTCATTTGAGAACATTGCCATATTTTTCCACAACTAGTCTGACTCTTGCAATAGCATGCTGTTGGCTTTTAAGAATAAATGACTTAGGACTGGGGTTGTGGCTCAGTGGTAGAGCATGTATAAGGCACCACATAAAAAATAAACAAAATAAAATTATTATGTCCATCCATCATCAATCAATAAATAAATGAACCATACTCATTCCCGGCCTCCTAATGCTCCATCTGCTGGCCTAGTTTTCTGGAGAAACAGCACCATCTGCTGGGAAAAGTCTGTCATGAATCTGTCTCAGGAATAGAGAACAATCTCTGCTTATGCAATTCTTGACTTGGGTTATAATCAGCAACTAAGATAAGACTTCCGGAAGGCCAAATAGGAAAACTTTGTACACCAGAAATGCTGATATAATTAGAGAATACTCAATGTCACAGTGAATCCTATCAATTTGTACAATTAATATGCATTAATAATTATTAAAAAAAAAAGATTAGAGAATCCTCTTTGCGGTTTCTCTTTCTAAAATACCAACTGACAAAATCTACTAGAAGGTTCGGATTAAGACCCAGGAATAGAAAGTGCCATGACTTTCAAAATTCTCCTATATTCTCTGCAAATAAAGATGCTGAGAAAATTAAATGCCTTTGTTCTCATTTTTTGGAATCTCCAGAATTTTTTCCTTCCTTTCATAAGAAAGGCATTTTATATGAATTTTCCTCCTAGTTCATTACCCACTTTTGTAGTTATCTTTCATTCTTCTTAACCAATTTACTGATTCCTCAAGTTCTTACAAACATCCATCTCCAACATACTTAACTGTCCCTAAGGTTCCTTAGGACCTAAGAAATATTCAACTCACCTTTATTCTCCCTCCTTTCACATCCCACTTTGACAAACTGAATCTGATGTTCCATCTTTCTTCTAAACCCTGAATCTATTTCTTTTCTGTCCTTACTACTCAGTGTAAATTATAGTTTTTCAGGAAGTTTCTTCATCATAGACAGTATATCCCTCTCTACCCCAATTCTTTGCTGGCTAGATTCTGAGCACCTTAAATTCCTAATTTAGATTCTGGTGCATAATTTTCTCATTTCTTCCTTACTTTTTTGGGGGGAGGGGTAGGGTACTAGGGATTTAACCCAGAGGCATTTACCACTGAGCTACATCTCCAACCCTTTTTATTCAAGATAGGTTCTTAAGTTGCTTAAGGCCTTGCTAAACTGCCAAGGCCTGCCTTGAACTTACAAATCTTTGGCCTAAGATAAAGGCAAACCTCATCAGCCAACCACAGCTAGCTGACCCTTCTAAGGGAAAGGAGGGACAATCCCAGGCAGTTCCTGTAATAGTACCTTTGTTGCAGGAATTTTTTTTTTCTCCCCCTTTTCCTACCCAGCACCCATTCCCCTTCCACTTTGGGCCCCCACTGGCTGCTTTTTACCACCACTGGGTGAAAAAGATAAAATAAATTATTGGATTCTATGGGTCCTAAACTCTCTAGGCCTTACCCTTTGTTTTTCTTGTTGTTCATGAGCTCCTTTGAGCCATTTTGGGACTTTGGAACCAGCGTTTTCTTCTCCTGATAGGTTGAAGCACTGTCACTTCTGTGATCTGGCAACTTTTAAGTAGCTAAAGGGGTAGCCGCGGTCTGGATCCTGAGAGTAGTAAAAATGCAGCCAAATGTGTCTTCATGTGTAGGCGTGCCTTCCTGCAGCCCCATGGGTTGAGCTTCGCTCACCTGTTCCTTTGATATTGCCCTTTTACCCTGTTTGGGATAGAATGTTCCATGGAAACGCACTTTGTGTGTCCCCTTCTCTTACTCTGCCCTTGGATGTGGCCTTCCTAGATGTCAACCAGCAGACATCATGAAGCTAGACTCAGCCCCTTGAAACCCTGACTCCTTGCTCATTTGAATGGCTTCTCCTCAATAAAAGGGTCAACATGCACGCATGCTCTTTTTCTGCAGACCCTTAAGGTCAGAGGAGCTGACACAGGAACCCCAAAGAAAAAGGTATTTCTGTCTCTTGTGTGGTTATTTCGCGCAGCCCAGTTCCCCTGGAATGACCCTGAGTGTTTTAGTCGCGAGGAACGCGACAACTCCCATTTTAAAATTATTTATATTTCTATTTTTCTACTACATTTTGTTGTCTTCAGATTCTTTAAATTAGCTACTAGAATATCAAAATTATCAACGTAAAATCATTTGTATCCCCTGTCCTCCCATATTTGCAAGAGTACTTCCTTCTCTTTATTTGAAGCATCCTAAAATTATTTCTCCAGAATTCATTAGGAAAAATACTTGCCTCCTTCAAGCATTATCTGATAAACTTCAACATAAGACTCTCATAAATATAAGAAACTCCACTAATATACTGAATGCTTTTAGAACTCAGATGAAATAGTAACTTCATATATATACATAATTCAAATGCTGGCTAATGATTTTTTTCCACTGGCACTTCATTAAAACATGCTTCATACACATTAAGACAAAACTAAAATAAAATTCTTATTTAAAAAATTTTTCTTCAATCTGAGTTTTGTTTTGATTATGGTAATATGTGGTATAGTTCAGGGACTTCTATAAAACTGAAAGAAGAGAATACTTTTATTAATCACAACATAAAACTGACATGGAATCCTACTAGAATTGAACCAGGATAAATAATGCTGTTATAAAATTTACATTTCTCACATTCAAGGAGAAACTATTACATATTAGGGCTCTTCTGGGTGTTATGAACTAATTTCAGCAAAACTTTATTTTAAAAAATAGTAAGTAACAATTAATATATATTTTTAAACCGTGTGAAGATAAAATTAGAAAGGCAACTGGTAAAACCAGCAGAATTAGAATCATTTTGTTGGACATAAAGAACCACATTTCCTTTTTAGCTGTTATATCTGCATGTTTTTCATTGATAAGGTGAGTGTTGGCTATGGGTGCCACATGATTAGTAATTTTCTTCTTTAGTAACAAATACTTGACTGATCAAGACTCAGGTAAATTTTCTTTCCTTATTTTGCTCTTTTGGAGCAGAAACAAATATCTTTATCTTTTGTACCAAGGGAGGCAAATATGAAATACAGCTATTGTAACTCTTCTAACTCGCCATTAAACAAGGGAAATGAATTGTTAAGAATGTCTCTGAAGTATTTCCAGTATTTAAAATAGGCCTCTGAATAATTTTCAAAACTAAGTTCTCATTTTGGTATAGGATTTGATAATCATAACACATTTGATCTGTATTCTTCTATCAACTACACTTTGTCCTCAATGTGGGTTACTGTTAGGGTCTCAAACTATTTCTACATATAGAGCATCTTTAAATAAGTTTCTTCACTGAACTTAAGACTTTTTTCCCCCCTCACTTATGTGCCCATGAAAATTAATGAGCATACACATACATATACTTGCATACATATGTACGTATAGAAGTAAGTTACTTTGCCATTAGAATAAAACTAGACACTAGGGGGACAACTCTGAGGAACAGTTTGGTCTTCTATGGAAGTCTTCCTCTATGCTGAGGAAGGCAGGTATAGTTCGCTGAAGGATGTGATGAGGCTGTAGGAAGTTTTCTCATCATCTGTCAATCCTGCATTGCCAGGTCTCACCACCACAGCTACATGCACACCTGCTTCCTCAGCAGCACTGGCCTCTGTGAAAAATCAAAGTATGTGTCAGAAATATCAAACTATAACATCCACAATTTGCATCAAAGTCATCAGGGGGATGTAAGAACAGAAGAACATTTGGCTTTGATTTTTGTTGAAGCTAGAAGATGGGCACACTGGGGCTGACTATGTTATGTATTTTAATTGGAGAGGGGGACCTAACTGGACTTGACAGAATAGAATGGTGGTGTATCCTACATTTCTGAGCTTTATTAAGTTTGCTACTTATGAATGCAGGTCAGAGCCATGTTCTATCCCATAACCTTCCTCCATTCCTTCCTGCAACTGAGCTATTTCCCAAAGGGCAGATAATTGGCAGTATCTATCAATTAAATAGATGCGGTACAAAAGGAATCCTATAATCTAATCAGGTTGAAGTGCCTGCCCTCACCTCCAAGCCCCAACACGTCATGCTCCCTGACTAAACTGCTTATATTTTTGGCCTAGTAAATTTATGCTCATTAAAATGCAGCTCAAAACATTCTGACTTTCAGAACATTCCATATACTCCCTTAACACTCTGTGTTTACCTCTATCACAATATAAATTTATAACTACTTGCTATTCTGCTCTTCATTGGACTATGAACATCTTAAGATACATGGATGTGTATGTGAGTGTGTGAGAGAGAATGACAAAGAGTTTGCGTGTGTGTGTGTGTGTGTGTGTGTTAGGGGGGCAGTGGCAGCAGAGGGATACAGTAAAAATAGGACTAGTCAAATTGAACTAGGTATTGTAGGAGATATCTCTAAAACATCTGGGTTACATTACTTTCTCTATTTTACTTCTATTTGAAAAATAACCACTAATACCTCCCATGAATTTATCATGTACTATGTGCTAGGTACTATTTTAGGATCAGAAATATGTGAATAAAATAAAGCTCCTACTTTCTTGGAGCTCCCCTTCTCATCGAAATCTTCATAGCAACCCCAAGATAGTATCATTACCTCCATCCTAAAGATATGAAACTGAGAGTTAACAGGTGGTATAGGGCTAAAATTTGAAATTGTCAGTCTGATTCCATCATCCGTGCTCTAGAACCACAGCTGGCAATTGATAGGCTGCCACCTGCTTTTGTAAATAAAATTGTATTGGAACATAGCCACACCCATTTATCTGTGTATCATCTGATTACTTTTGCAGTATAAGGAGAAAGCTGAAAATAGCTGTGACATGGAGTGGCGAATGAATGATAGGTTTCTTTGAAAGGCAGAGGAGATGATGCCCTTTGGAGAACTCTTGGTGGAAAGGTGCTGATCGAGATTGCTTAGCTGATGGTAATGCCCTTTTCAAAAGGGATTCTGTGCAGCTCACAGAATTTATTGGTAATGGCCTTGAGTTTAAATGCCTGGAGGTAGAGAATTGTGAGCGCAAGCTGACAACCTTTAATGAGCTGTTTTACCCATAACTTAGTTTTGTTTATCTTGAAAAAGTTTTCTCACAGTAAATCCTTTTGATGTTTAAACCTATATAATAAACATGGGGAGCCTGCTCCTGGCCAGTCTTCTCCCATCAGGATTACTGCTTTCTCTACATTTGTGTCTGTTTATCTTTTTTCCAATCCCCTCATCAGCCTGGATTTGGGGAAACTGAATAAATGTCACGTGGGCTGCGACAGATTGTAAAGCCTAAAGTATTTACTATCTGCACTTTTTAGGGAAAGAAAACTGGCAGAGACAGGAGGAATTCTAGGCAAAAATAAAACACACACATATATCTGGGAGAATGGAGCAAGTCAGAGTGGCAAACAGGACAAGGTCTGTGGTAAGAGAGATGTGGCTTCTTAGGACAGTCAAGTTAACAGGTAAAAAAAAAAAAATCTGTAAAAGTCTATGTAATTTAAATTTGGCACAACAGGAAGCTTTGGCAGTTTTGCAACCTTTGGAAAAGAGTAGCAGCTTGTTAATGGACTAATTAAAGGACAGCAGTGTTGAGAGATAAGCTGTTCCTGACTCAAAGGGGAAAGAAAGCCATTTCTTAACCCTGTCCACTTCTACAAGTCTACTTTCTGCTCTTATTTTGAAAGGGCCTGTCATCTTCCTAGGGACCCCGAGCAAACCAAGTGCTAAAGACTCTCTTCTTCATGTAAGAATGCCATCATTAGGCAAACCGCAGATGCCACTCGTGTCAGCAGAAAAAGCAGCTGCCTTATACTTGCCCCTACCTCCCAGACTGATGAGTGCAGGGTTTACCACGTCCAGCAGACCATGACTGGAGATATATATATAACCCTACAGTCATCAGAACAACTGCTTATCAGTCACCATGTTTTCAAATTCATCAGTGTTAAGCTTGATGAAGCCCCACTTCTCTGAGATGCAGATCCTCTGGTGGCTAGGGAACTGAAAATTGAAATTAGCCCTACATAGGGCATCAATCACAACATTTTCCTTGTTCTGTGGCTTCGTGTGGATAGACATGATGACTTGGCCAATGTGAACACTTGCCACTGTGTCTTGAGGTTTCCCAAAGACATGCCACAGACCTTTCTGGAGCCTAGATTGGAGATATGAACTTCCACTGAAAAGCACCATTTCCAAGGTCCCTTAGGGAAACCCATTTAAGCAACAGGCTGCATATACTACGGAGGAGGTTGCTGTTTGTAGCCATCACACTCTGGGCTGCCATAATAAAGGAACACAGTTTAATTGGCTGCAGAGCATGAGTTCCTTAAACAAAGCTTTCATCTCGACTGGCATCCAGGATCTTGACTAAGTTGGGACATTATAGTCCATCTGGGAATTGACACTAGCTAGTGGCTGTTTCATTTTCAGGCTTCATAAACTAGATCACAGAGGGCAAGTTTTGTCCTTAAGCATCTATTGGCTCTATTGGTATAATATTGAGACACTTAAGTAAAACTTGTTGACTTAAAACTCTTGGATCGCTTTTCTTTTCTCCAGTGAGAAGAGGTCTTTAAATTCTTTTTTTCATACTTAGGTACCATCTGGGATATCAACTTGGTTTTTTGTTCTACCTTGGCAGTGGAAGCCTGAGCATGTGGTACCAAAACACAGGACCAGAAGTGACAGAAAAGAGAAAGGCAGGCAGCCAGTTACCTGGCCTCATCCCAGCTACAGATAATCTAAATTCTTACCCTGCCTAATGGGGTGTGCGGCTGGCAGAAGATGAGGGACAGAAATAAAACCTTCTTTTAAAGGACTAAGAGAAAGTTATTTCATTTTGAGGCCCATTTGGGGATTACTTCTATTCTTTAAAGTGAAGATAATTTATGGAACTGTAATCCAAAGGAAATGCTTAAGTGAAAAGAGAAAAGACCTAAAATTATAGATGCACAACTACAAAAAAAAAAAAAAAAAAGTGGTTAAGGAAAAGAATATAAAGAAACTATAGTATTATCAATATAACCAAAAAACTGGATAGAGAAAAGGCATGGGGATCAAAAGTGGAATCATATATTTCATCAACAAGTGGTTCACTGGGTAGAGAGATGGTACCACAAAGCAGACATTAATTCTAAGCTTGCAGAAATCTATCATCTAAAGTGCTAAAGAGCTGGGCACAGTGGCACACATCTGTAATCCCAGCAATTTGGTAGTCCAAGGCAGGAACAAAGATATTAAGAATTACTGTCTTTGGAAAAACGCAGTGTAACTTCTGAACACATCAAATGATCTACGCTGGTTAAGATTAAAAAAAAAAAAAAAAAAGGATCAGTTTAGCAAATTAGCACCTGCTTATATACTTACAACTCTCACCTATTACATCAGACCAAAAGATTAAGTGTCAGCAGAAGACAAAGAATATAGATCATATACATTATCTGCAAGAACTTTTGCTAGCAACCCGGATGTTCCTTTGGGCCCCCTCTATGAAAGTCCAGACCAGTAGAAGTAACTTAGTTGTGTGACAACAAACAGGAAGGTCTAGAGAGAGTAATCTTATATACAGGCCACCGAATCTGCCTCCAAGGGGCCCAGGAGTCATGTAGAGACACCTAGACAAGAGAACAACCTCCTCCTCTCCCTAACATCCTTCTCTAGACTAATGCCACAGATCCAGTTTGTTAGAACTGCACAAAGTGCTCTTTTGGGGGTGTGATCTCAGTCCCATAGAAATTTATAATCCAAAGTAGAATAGAAAAACTCAAATATGTAGGACTGCCCTCAAATGCAAGTAAATTATAAAAAGCAAAAGTAAGCCCACAAGGAGATGCATGAACTCTAAGAATGACCACACAATCAAAAGCTGGAGCCAGCCAGGCCTGGTGGCTCAGGCTTGAAATTCCAGTTACTCAGGAGGCCGAGGCAGGAAGATCCTAAGTTCAAGCCAACTTTAGGAACTTAGCAAGACCCTGTCCCCAGCCCCCAAAAATAAATAAATAAAAGTAGCCACATGGGAATGCCTTCTTAGCAAGGAGCTTGCAGATAAGAATCAGAAATTACATTCTCAAAGCACTCTTCACCCACCTCTTCACTTATGTTTGTTATAATTCTCTAGATCACATTCTTACACAGATGCTAAAACCTGAGTTTCCAAGTTGATCCAAACTATTATTAAAATAATTTATACTAACAACAAAGGACAGTACATGCTGTTTTGCACATTAAACCCTTGAAGTAATAATGTATAATGCTAATGTACTGTATATAATACGAAGGGCAATGCTAAGTTTAAAAAAAAAAGAGTCTTTAAAAGGTAAATCAATACAATAAAGCCTAAGATTTACCCGATAGGTGTCTCGAGAAAAGAGACCAATTGAAGGAAAGCAAAGATGAAGCTCCTACTCATCATGAGACAGCTGACTGATCAAAATGACAGATAAAACTGCTTCAACTATTTATAGTTATCTGTTAGAGTCCATAAACAAGTCAAAATAACACCTGGCATTTTGCCAGGGGAATGTTAGAGTTCCTAAACAAGTCTGGATGGTGCCTGGCAAAATGCCAGAGGGAGTGGTTTGAGAAGTAACAAAAGCGAGCCATTAAGTGTGGAGATTCCTGATTGGTTGACTGCTGTATCTAGTTTATGTTAATTAGATAAGCTGTGTGGAATGTATAAATACCGCTCCTGTCCTACAATAAACGGCTTCCACTCCTGCTGTATCAATGTACACAAGTTGTTCGTCACCCCCCGGGTTATTTTGCCCAGCCAGCCCGGCTGCGGCAGTTATCTCTCTTATACCCCTTCCACAAGTGTACAGCTGATCTCATTGCTATTAAATGCATCTGGTATAGGTTCACTGTGACTCTATTGTCCTTAACTAACCATCACCTATGGTCTGACCTGCATGATCATCCCACAATAACATTAAGTCTCCCTCTGCTATACTCCCACGTCATTGGTGTATATATGTACATACAGAGTGATGTATAGGGTACCATGATGGAGAAAAATGAAGAGAATAAAGTTTTTTTCAGTGTTATTCCCCATTTACAACCTTGAAGGACTGGTAAATGGAGAGGAAGGTGGGTCATGTGGCTGTTACTTTTTATAAAACTATTGTATTTCAAGAATTCTCACTTAAGAAATATGTTGATACTATCAGGCCCAACTCCTCTCCTGAAGTATACAGTGTAATATGTCTGAGCCGAGCACAGTGGGATGTACTTGTAGTTCCAGCTACTTGGAGGATCACTTGAGCCCAAGGAGCTCCAGGCCTGCCTGAGCAATATAGTAAGACTCCACTTCAAAAAAAAAAAAAAAAGGAAGAAAGCCCAATTACTCACCTAAAGTAATATCTGTTAGAAACAAGATGTTGTTGGTTGAGCATCCAATGCTGTTTGCAATCTTTCTGTAACTCTCACTCTCTACTTTGTGTCCAATTTTGGTATCAAAGTGACCATCAAAAAGCTGAACAAAGAGAGGAGAAACACTAACTCTATAAGTACACTTGCAACACACTAAATCCCTTTTATTTAGTATCGTTTCCCCCTGAATCTCATGACAATCATAGTGGCTTCACTCATTCAGTAAATATTTACTGAAAATCTACTTAATAGAGGACTTTATAGAGGCTCCAAAAGGTAAGTATAAAGATTTTACAGTAAAAAACATTTGGATGAGCTGAATGTGATGGTACACAGCTGTAATCCAAGCTATTGAAGAAGCTGAGGTAGGATGTTCACAAGTTTGAGGCCAGCCCCAACAATTTAACAAGACCCTGTCTAAAAATAAAAATTTAAAAAAAAGAACTGGGGATGTAGTAGCTCAGTGCCCCTGGGTTCAATCCCCAGCACTAAAACAAAACAAAATAAAGAATCCACTTGGTTTTCATTAGCACTTCCAAACTTATCTAAAATATACATGTCCTACAGTCTATTTTAAAAACACTATATGTAAACTACATATTAGATTGGGCTGGATTTTCCTCTGGTGAAAGGTTCTAAATATTACCCTTTTGATCCTAGAATGAAAAGATATTCTCTAATTATCACTTGCTAATTTTATCAACAGTAGTTAAGTCCATATTTATAATAAGCTATTATGATGTGATCTTCTGAATGTCTTTAGAACTCTTCACAAACTAAGTCTAAAGAGGACACAAAACCAAATTAAGGCAATATTAAGGATTTAACTTTTTAAAAATGTTAAGATTGATTTTTGCATACTTCCTTTCTCTCTGTTTGATTTATTTAGTAACCAAAGAAGATTTTTTATTATTGAACTTAGTAGATAATTATGATGTCCTATCTACTTTCACCTTATTATTGCCTATTTCATTAGTTAGAGCAGAAAAGTTTATATCTGTATTCAGAAAACAGTCTTAAATTATTAAAGGATTTCATTATTTGTTATAAGATGTTCAATTTCTTTCTTTAGTGTTCTGCAGTTTTTGTTTTTTTTTTTCCCGGTTCTCGGGATTGAACCCAGGGCTTTATGCATGCAAGGCAAGCACTCTACTAACTGAGCTGTATCCCCAGCCCCCATAGTGTTCTGTACTTTTCATTGCAGAGGTCTTTCATCTCTTTTGTTGATTATCAAGTATTTTATTTTTTATTTTTTGAAGCTATTGTGAATGGAGTAGTTTTCTAATTTCTCTTTCAGAGGATTAATCACTGATGTATAGAAATGCATTTGATTTATGGGTACTGATTTTATATCCTGATACTTTACTGAATTCATTTATTAATTCTAGAAGTTTTCTGGTGCAAAGGGAGGGAGGGAAGGGGAGGGAAGAAGTCATGGGGGCAGGAAAGATGGTGGAACGTGATGGACATTATTATACTAGGTACATGTATGACTGCACATAAGTTGCGATGCTATATTGTGTACAATCAGAGAAATGAAAAGTTGTGCTGCAATTGTGTACAATACAACAAAATGAATTCTGCTATCATATATATACCTAACTAAAATAAAGAAATTTTTTTCTTTTTAATATTTATTGTTGGTTAAAAATATGGAACGCTTCATGAATTTGCGTGTCATCCTTGCGCAGGGGCCATGCTAATCTTCTCTGTATCGTTCCAATTTTAGTATATGTGCTGCCGAAGCGAGCACTAAAATAAAGAAATTAATAATAAAAAAAAAAAAAGTAGGGAAGTACTAAAGTGAGAATATGACAACCTCCAAAGCCAAAGTATTCTCTGTACACAGTAGGGGCTCAAAAAATATTTATTTTAGGGCTGGGGATGCAGCTCAGTGGTAAAGCATTTGCTTGCCTAGTGTGCACAAGGTCCTTGGCTCAATTTCAGCACAATGGGAAAAAAAAAAAAAAGAACAACAACAACAACAACTGAAGTCTTTATGTATTTCTTAGCACTGCGCATGATCCTATTTTGCATATTTATTTATTTATTTATTTGAGGGTGGGGAGGTACCAGGTATTGAACTCATGGGCCCTTGGCCACTGAGACATATCCCCAGCCCTATTTTGTATTTTATTTAGAGACAGGGTCTCACTGAATTGTTTAGCGCCTCTCTATTGCTGAGACTGGCTTTGAACTCGCGATCCTCCTGTCTCAGCCTCATGAACCTCTGGGATTACAGGCCACCGTAGCTAGCTTGCATCTTTATTTTTTTCAAGACAGTAAATTTTACTTCATATAGAGGAAATTATATATTCAATAACAAAAGTGACTGTTTTCTTTTTACCTTTTTTTTTTTTAAACAATCAAAAGAAGCATTCCATTAGTTTCTTTTGAGTTGTTGATTTCCTAATACTGGCAAGATAGCTGGTTTACATGTTAGCTCATGAGTTAGGATGTATTCCTGTATATGCTAACTCATGTATACCTATTTTTACATACATATAATAGCTGGTTCAAGGACTATCCTCATCAGTATCCTTAGGGTGGATGTTTATAAAAGCAAATTCCAGGTTCCTCCTTCCAGACCTGCCAATTAAGATTTGCTAGGAAGGAGCCAGGAGCAGTTGCACATGCCTATAATCCCAGTAGCTTTGGAGGCTGAGGCAGAGGACCACACATTCAAAGCTAGCCTCAGCAACTTAGAGATGCCCTAAGCAACTTAGTGAGATCTTGTCTCAACATAAAAAATAAAAAGGGATGTGGCTCAGTGGTTAAGTGTCCCTGGGTTCAATCCCCACTACAAAAAAAAAAAAGCTAGGAAGCAGGGACCAGGGATATACCTTTTTAATATAAACTCTGCAGGTAAACCCACAAAAATGTTTGAGACTTTGATCAAAAAACTAGCACCAAACAAAACATTTCTCCCTTCACTATAATGTATTCAAGTTTTTCTACTTCTCTTTACAACCTGTCAGTATGTACAAAGGTAATTATCTGAATGATTTAGTTTATACTGTAGTACATTCCCTTTATCATTTTGTGCTTTGATCGTGTCAAAACAAAGCAAACTAAGTAACCTACCTCAAGAATATTCCCCTCTGTAGAATGCCCAAATAATAGTTTCTGAGCCTCTACACTTCCAGAAGAATAGATATACACCTTCATTCCATCTTCTCTCCATTTCCTGACTGCTGGAACTACATCTTCAAAGAACCTGGGGGGAAAATTACAAAGTTAAAATGCAGGAACACATCATTAGTCAGATGAAAACCAGAGAAAAGAGATGACACAATCTTCTCTATTTGTGCTCAAATGGTAACATTATGAACCAACTCTACATAGAGTGTGAACTCCTGTGGTTCTAATAAATGTTACTGGAGTTCCAAGATCACACAGCAGATTATATGGAACAATTTGACAATGTAAAGGGATTACAGGTAAAAGAAGGAAATAAGAAAGTGGGTTTTTAAATTGTTAAGGAAGTGGGGAGGAGAATAGGAAGGACAATAGAATTAATTGGACATAACTTTCCTAGCCTTGTATTTGAATACATGACAGGGTTACTCCACATCATGTACAACCACAAGAATAGGATCCTAATTAGAATAAGTTATACTCCATGTATGTATAATATGCCAAAATACATTCTACTGTCATGTATGTATATCTCAAAAGAATAAACTGCTTTTTAAAAGTTGTTAAAGAACTTAAAAGCAAAAAACAAAACATTGCAATTAATACTACATTGTAATATAATTTTTGATGTAATTAATGAAAAGAAAAGGCTAATTTATGTCCACTGTGCTTTAAGAAGACATGGAACTAGAAATATGTACATCCAAAACAATGAGGGGAAAAAAAAATTGGGGGGGCTCAATGCTACAAATCTATAAGCTAGATAATGGAATTAAGTTTTTTTTTTTAAGAACTCAGAAAGTCTAAAGTTTTACACAGAAAAAACAAACAAAAAAACTTTATTCTGAACAAATCAATTAAGAGACTTGACAGTATTTGATTTTCTGATTCCTGACACTTCAAGTCTCCTATTGATTCTACAGTATTTGCCATATTTAATGGTCAAAATAATATCCTGGGAACTAAGTGAAAAGAAAAGTACAAGAACCTGAGATGTGGAACCAATTCTTCTTTTTAAAGAACCAAAAGAAAGGCCAACTACTGGGAGAATAATCTCTTGGCTTCACACTTTTGAATGTTTTATAGATTAAGCCAGCTGAATATTCCCAGATCACTGGCATATCCACAAATTCCAGTATATCCTTTAAAAAGGTTCATGATGTTTATAATATAAAGGAATGACATCTCATTTGACAGAAATACAAAAGAAATATAGGTAGCTGTAAACAAGTCTTGGATCCAAAGGTTTTCTTATTAAGAATTTCTCAGCAATATGATACTCTAGAGTCTCCTTAGGCAAAAGAACTATCAGGAACCCATTAACCAAGACTCACAGGATCCATGGAAAACTCTCACAAGAGCATAGCAAAAGTGGCAGTGCTGACATTTTGTGTAATCCCAAAATAACAGGTTCATAATTCACAGTATTCTCCTTTTCTAACAAGGCAAAAATGCAGGTGATCTGTTGGTTCTGGGAAATAGACCAATAGTGCTGTCACTCGTATGCTAAGAATCCAATATGACTTAGTTCAAGGAAGTCATCATTTTCTAGGAAGTTGTTTTAAACTGGGTCTAAAATTAACTTCAACCATCCACAAAGCCAGACATGAACATCTTGGGATACAGCTGAGTAAAATCCTTTCAGCTCAGCTTTGAAAAACAAAACAGCTCATTTGTTAGATTAAAACAATGCTAATGTGTCCATTTTACTAATATTGTGGCTTATAATGGAGAGAGAAGACTAATGAGAAACATATTTAGTGAAATATTTTAGTCACTTGAGCACATACTCTGTTTTCATGTGTCCAGCTGTGAATGCTGCCTTCCACATGTGGCCCTGCAGTTGTTTGAGTGCTGTGGTCTTTCGGTCCAGAGACATCTGCCAGCACACATTATCTACAACGGCCTGGATTATCTGTTGTAGTTCATCTACCCCATTTCCAGATGCTGCAGGGATTGGAATAGCCCCATCCAGGTGGGCGTCTTCTTCAGCCTTTAAATTGGAAACAACATGAAGTTTGTTTCTTGCATATTTTTTAAAAAGGTCATTAAAAATGAGCCCCCCAAACCAGGCAGATAAATTTTCTCCAGGCATCATAAGCCCTAGCAAATGATTCCTAAGAGAATGACCTCTAAAAGAAATGGGATTATAATTAATAAGTTTATATTACCTGTCCTAGATTGCTAAAGCTGAAATTTAAATCAAAAGGCACACTATATGTGAGGAGAATGAGCACATAATTATAAGAACAACTATCTTTTTTTGTTCACTCATTAGGATCAGCAAACCAGGATTTTCAATTGCATCTGATCATTTTCTCTGTACTATAACTAATTAAAGTAGAAACAGAAAATCTCATAAGTTAGTTTATGGCTAGACTTAATGAAAAGAAACTAGTGAAGTAATGCAATTGGTTCACATTCAGCCTACTATAATCTCCCACATCTTACAAAAACCCTAAAGCTACTTAGAATAACCTTGTGACAATGCAATCCTAATAAGGGAAGCCAGGCATGATGGTGAACATTTGTAATCCCAGCAGAATAATTACAAGTTCAACACCAGGTCTGGCAAGTTAGTTAGAGCCTGTCTCAAAATAATATAGCCTAGAGATAAAATGCTCCTGGTGCTCCTGGGTTCAATCCCCAATGCTGTTTTTTTAAAAAAGCAAAGAGCACATGTGATTCTGGGGTGGGGATTATGTATGCATGTTTCAAGAACAAGGTTGAGAAAATAAAGAAGGTAATCACTGGGGGGGAGGATACTTCAGATAAACCCTGAGTTATCCAGAAAATTCAACAAACCCAAATATCCCATGATTCAAAGAACATGACTATAGTTCCAGTCCTAAACTGTAATATTAAATAGCAGAATTATAGAGAGCATTCTATAATATCCAGTGTAGGAAAACTAATTGCCAGTTACCGCTGCTCATCATGGTTGATCTTTGCCACTAAAGCAATTCCGGTAAGAAAATCAAGAGAACAGAAGATGCATAGCACACAATGTGAAAGAAGAAGACAGAATGAGGACTGAGTGAGAGAACAGGTAGGATGAAATACATGCCACCAAGGTGAGTCTGAAGGGCAGGCCTAGGGTGAGATGGGTAAGAAGTGTGGCATGTGTCAGGGTGTGAGGATGCAGGAGCACTGTAAAATGGGTGGTAAGGACTCACGCACGCCCTGAGGCAGTAGAGTGGAAAATGACAAGATGCTGTCACTTGGAGACATTAATGAAATATGCAATGAGATTGCATAAAACCTTTTGCACTCTACCCAGAAAGGGCTTCATTTTATTAATAAATAATATGTTCATGTAATTTAAACAGCTTCTGAAAGAGACAATTTTATAGACAACAATCTGCCATGATCTGGCAGCTTAATTATGTACTGTGAATTCCTAAATTGGCAAGTCACTACAACTTTCTTCCCTTGTGAATTGAGGGCATTGATTTTACAGTATGCTCAGAGAACGTTCTAAGTCTCTAGGCATCCTCAACTATAAGACACAGGAGAATGTGTGAGAGAAAATATTCCAACCTGTTTTCTCAAAAGATTGACATCCTGCTGGCACTCCTCTTCTTCCCAATGTGTCTGCAGATACTCTTTAACGTTTTCTTTGATGTAAGGAAATAAAATGTCCTGGATAAATGAGTAAAACAAAGAAAAAAGTGTTAGCTTCTGCCAATTGTGTGATGAGATCCAGTTATTCTATATAATCTCACCTTAGCTAATTTTAACAGATAAATCAATGGAACTTAGCAAAAATTTGCTGTTATGAGTGGGACAGAGACCGAGACCGAGACCAAGAAACGTGAACTATACATGAGCTGGTAAATTACAACTTTGGAGGCCATAATGGCAGAAATGGGGATATGGACCAAGACAATATGGCCTGCAAAATCCAAAATATTTACTACCTGGTCCATTACAAAAAAAAAAAAAAAGGCTACCAACTTCTGAACTATGTTCCTAGAGCACAGATCTTTGAGGGCATGGACTGAGTGTGTCTTGTTCCCAATAATACCCCCAATGCACAGTGCTGAAAAATGGCAAATGGCTGCTGAAAAAAATGACGCCCTATAACAAGTATTTAAAAAAATTTGTGATCAGGCTGGGGATATGACTCAAGCAGTAGTGTGCTCGCCTGGCATGCGCGCAGCGCTGGGTTCGATCCTCAGCACCACATACAAATAAAGATGTTGTGTCCGCCTGAAAAATAAATATTAAAAAATTCTCTCTCTTTCTTTAAAAAAAAATCTGATCACTACAATTCTTTCTTGGTAATCAGACTACTTACAGAGTAATGTGTAAGAAAGTATTATGCAAAACAATTCACTAATAAACAATCTATTAGCAACATATGCCCTGCAAATGACTTTTCTTTGGTCAAAATTTTATTATCTGGTACTGCAGATTAACTGTACCCAGATCCCTATTCATGCCAAGCACAAACTCAACCAATGAGCTACACCCTTAGTTCTCTCTCTAGTCAAAATGTTTATATTTTTATTTACTGCAAATGTAGTATATATCTCTTTTCAAATCAAACTGTGGCACATTTGACAATATTTTTCAGTATCTACTTTGTGCCAAGATATGCTAATTCTTGAGCAGATCATGGAGAAGTGGATTTAGATGATAAGGAAAACAGTTCCTCACTGACAGTAAGGTTAAGAAGTCAGTCAGGTAGTGCAACACACTGTGGGACAATGGGTGAGGTAAACGGTACAGCAGAATGTTGTATAAAATCAAGGTATAATAGCTCAAACAGTTTTAGGAATAACCTGTCTAAAAAGACAAGCTGTGAGTGTAGAACACAAGTACACACTGCAGAGAAGACCCTACACTTTAGGAGAAACTATAATTGAATTCAAGAAAGCTGCTTATTTTTAAATTCATTCACTCATTTATTCAAATATTTGCTGAATGACTCATATAAACAGGCCAGGTGGTAAGAATCAGAAATATAATCATGAGTAAAAACCACACATGAGCCAGGTGTGGTAGAGCAGGCCTGTAAACCCAGTGGCTCCAGAGCCAGCTTCAGCAGCACGAGGCCCTCATCAATTCAGTGGGACCCTGTCTCTAAATAAAATACAAAATAGTGCTGGGGATGTAGCTCAGTGGTTGAGTTCAATCCCTGGTACCTCCCCCCCCCCCCAAAAAAAAAAAAAAAAAACCAAACCAAACAAAAAAAAAAAAAGAAAAGCACTACACAGATTCAACGGAATCCCTATCAAAATACCAATGACATTCTTCAGAGAACTAGAAACAACAGTGATGAAATTCATTTGGAAAAATAAGAAACCCAGAATAACCAAGAAATCCTAGGGAGAAGAGCAAGTTGGATATCAATATATTGTTGCTTCAAATTATACTACAGACCCATAATAATAAAAAAACAGCATGGTACTGGCACCAAAACAGACATGAAGATCAATGGAACAGAATAAAAGACACAGAGATAAATCCACATAAATATAGGCCCAACATTCTATCATGTAGGCTTACGAACTGACTTCCTTAAGCAGACTCGTAAAGTATTAGAAGTAAAATCAAGAATCAACAAATGGGATGGTATCAAACTTAAAAGCTTCTTCACAGCAAAGGAAACAATCAAGAGCATGAAGAGAGAGCCTACAGAAGAGAAAATCTTTGCCACCTGCACCTCAGATACAGCATTAATCTCCAGGATATATAAAGAAAACAAAAGTTTAACAACAACAAAAAACCAAATAACCCAATTAATAAATGGGCAAAAGGAACTGAACAGACACTTCACAGAAGAAGAAATACGATAGGTCAACAAATATATGAAAAAATGTTCAACATCCCTAACAATTAGAGAAATACAAATTAAAACTACACTGAGATTTCATCTAACTCCAGTCAGAATGGTAACAATCAAGAAAACAGTAACAATAAATGTTGGAGAAGATGTGGGCAAGAGGGTACACTCATACATTGCTGTGGGATTGCAAATTGGTGCAACCTTTCTGGAAAGCAGTATGGAGATTCCTCAGAAAACTTGGAATGGAACCATCATTTGACCCACCTATTCCACTCCTTGTTTATACTGAAAGGACTTAAAATTAGCATACTGCAGTGACATACCCACGTCAATGTTTATAGCAGCTCAATCCAACATAGCTAGGCTATGGACCTACAATAGATGAATGGATAAAGAAAATGTAGTATATATACACAATAGAATACTACTCAGCCATAAAAAAAGAGTGCCTTTACGACATGTCATAAAATGGATGGATCTGGAAACTATCATGCTAAATGAAATAAGCTAATCCCCCAAAACCAAAAGTCAAATGTTTTGATATGTGGATGCTAACACACAATGGGGGTGGAGAATAGAAGTTCAGTAGGATAGAGGGGAATGAAGGGAAGATAGTCGGGATAGGAATAGGAAAGACAGTGGAATGAATCTGACATAAATTTCGTATGTATATATATATATATGAAGACACTACAGTGAGAAAGGTTACTTGCAGAGTTCACACAAAGTCCAAAGACCACACCATACACCGCAATCTCATGCAAGAGATTTATTGTCAGTAGTCCGAGGCAAACCAACAAGGCTGTCCCTCAGAGAAGAGCAGCAGTCAGTTGGCACTCACAGAGCAGCTTTATAGTCCACAAGAGAAATTTCATAAGCTGCTTAGGAGTTGTGTCATAGCTGGGGTGGGGTTGATCCTTTAGCAGGCACTTTCTTACCAGAATTTAAGCAGCACTGCCTCAGAATCAAAACTTTGGAGCCTCTAGATAAAATGGTTCCCGACCTAAAATGGTGAATCTGATGCCAATACAGCGAATCTCTACATCATGTACAACCACAAGACTGGGATCCTAATTTGAATAAGATGTACTCCACATTTGTAGAAATAAGTCAAATCATCCTCTACTGTCATGTATAAGAACAAAAATTAAAAACTAAAAAAAAAAGTAATCACATTAGAAAATATTTTTTTAAGCAGGATTTTTTTTTTTTTTAAATCTGACTCTTCATTTTTAAACTCAGCACACCAAGGTTTATAATTCTTGGTGTGTTTTTCTGCCCATGTAGTCTGAAAGATCCTTTAAGAAAGCAATTGCACTGTCAAAAAAGATAATAATAATAATTTTCCTAAGCCCCTAGATGAGAAGAAAACCAATTTAAAAGTGTTTTATTTTATGGGGTGTGGTCATAGAAGCACAGTACTAACAACAGTGGGCCTCAGCTCTCCAAAATGTTTATCTGTGGACTTTACAAAATTCATTAAATCTTCTAGTTCTAAAATATGTGAAATAGGAAAATTTAAAATCTTACTGATTCACCTCTGATAAGATGATGCAAGCTTAAGATTAAATAATGTCAAAATAATAATAATTATTGCCCATTCCATATGCAATAAAATTGTGTAAAGAAAGTTTGGTCATTAAGAACAAACAAACAAACAAAAAACCCCAAAACAAAAATTTGTTGCTTTCTCCCCAACCTTACCCACAGAAAAATTTTAGGCTTAAAAAATTATTGGGGGGGGGGGTGGTGGTGCTGGGGTTGTGGTTCATCCGTAGAGCACTTGCCTAGCATGTGTGAGGCACTGGGTTCCATCCTCAGCACCACATAAAAATACATAAATAAACCAAAGATATTGCGTTCAGACTCCCCCCCCCCCCCCCAAAATCTAGAAGCCAGGTGTTGTGGCACAACCCTGTAATCTGAGCAGTTTGGGAGGCCAAGAGGCAAGAGGATAGGAAGTTCAAGTTTACCCTGAGCAAAAGCAAGGTGCTAAGCAACTCATTGAGACGCTGTCTCTAAATAAAATACCAAAAAGGGCTGGGGATGTGACTCAGTTGTCAAGTGACCCTGAGTTCAATCCCCAGTACCACCCCCACCAAATAATAATTCCAGAAACAGTGGGTGTGGTGGAGCACACCTGTAATCCTAGCTAGTTGGGAGGCTGAGATGGAGGGATTGTAAGATCCAGGCAAGCCTGGGTAACTTAGCAAGACCCTGTCTCAAAATCAAATAAAAAGGGTTGGAGATGTAGATTCAGAGGCAGAGTACTTGCCCAACATATGCAAAGCCCTTAACTGCAAAAATAATTCCAGAAATATCTGTGATTACAATTGCTTTAACTTCAGTTATAATCCACTTATAACTTTCAAATAGTCTAGTATGAACAAATGCTGCAATTAATCCAGGATTCTATACATATGTGAATATTTTTAATGCACCCGGCATCTAAGGGGTTGTTAGGGTTTAGCAGTATACATGTAGGAAAACGTTAGAAAATTAAAAAGAGAGTTTGCCCTTCAGGGAATTATGAATAAATTCCACTAAATGCTGAAGGGGATACTATATAAACAGCAATTTATATTACTTTCTGAAAATCTAATTAAAGAAGTTACCTCATAAAAGTTTAAAGTCAAAATGTGGATGAACTTTGTGGTCAAGTGGTTGTTTCAATGAGAAAGTCATGGAATCAATAAAAATAAAATCGTTGCGATAATATTTATTCAAATTTCCTTTGGAAAAAAATAGGTAATAAAGTTTCCTCTAAAGAATAGTACTTAAAAGCCAGGAGCAGTGGTGCATCCCTGTAATCCCAGCAGCTTGGGAGGCTGAGACAGGAGAATTGTGA